TTGTGCTGAAGGAGGCCTTGTAGTCTTTGACCAGCTGCTCAAGGTCTTGGGGCAGGAGCTCGTGATCTTGAGTCACCTGGACACTCGCCATGCCCTCATCCTAAAAACTGCTTTTATCCCTGTCTTCTGTAGCACCTTTGGGCCCTTGGACAAGCTTGTTCTTCCTCCTTCCTTTTTGATCTCACTTCCACACCTACTCCTCACCGTCTCATTCCTGTAGCTCCATGCAGATATCTGTGCTCTGTTCTCCAAAGTTCCCATCTTCGCCTCCTGGGTTGGTTTCAAGTCTGATGAGTCGCGTTGTCATTTCCACATTATGGCCACCACTTGCATGAGCATGGCTTGCATGACTAGCAAGATCTCAGATAGTCAGCGTCATGCGACTCTTACGGTTCACTTTCATCCAAGCACGAGCTTTTTTTGCTCTGAGCCAGAGGACTCCTCGCTTCTTCTTGGACCGTTCCAGGAGCTTCTCGAAGTTGTGAAGCTCAATGCCCAGCACCACGTCTCAGGGTCCCGAGCTGACATGGAAGCAGCAGAATGGTGGCTTAAGAAAAACAAGCAGCAGGACGGGGGCCAGAAGCAAAAGCAGGGGCGGGAGCTGGAGGAGGAGGAGGAGGAGGAGGCCGAGAGAGGAGGAGTCATACGTATAGTTACTGACAATGACAGTAACTGTAAAGTCTTGAATGCCTTTCCTCTTTACTCGACTGCCACGTCGCGTAGCCCTTCTGTGCATTAGTACAGAATAACAAACAGCAACATTGCCCACGTATTTGTTGTCGAAGGTAAGTACCAGCAACAAAGCCCTAAAGGTCCAAACAGCATCGTTCAGCATTTGCGCTCCTGAGTACATCTGCACGAAGCGGCGATAGCTGTCGAAGGCAAAACGCCGGTCTCCGGACTGCTTGGCAAGTGCCTGCAAGCTTTGGAGTTGTTTCCCAAAAGCTTGGGGATTACTTGGTTTCGGGTTGAGGCTTTGTAGCAAGTTTGGACAGTTTCTATGCACTCCTGGCCTCCTGGGTGATCACACATCTGACCAAATCACAACCTTGAAGCTACTGAGCTACTGTTTCTTTCTTTGGGGACTTACACTTAAGTAGCTGACAGCCCAAATGATACCTGCCCTGGACTGGTCTGGATGCCCCGACTGCTGTCAAGGCGGGACTTAGTCAATGTGTTCCATGGGGATATTGCATGCATTGGGGGGGCCCTTGTATGGTAAACTTGCAATCAAAGGCAAATCACACGCAGCAAATAGAGCTTACATACACGAAGTCTATTCTCAGGCACTCCTCATTTTTCATTGCCTTTGGCCCAGACGCCCGGCAGGGTAGGGCACCGAACTTTCGAACCCTGAAATTGTCTGTCATTGTCTCTCTCCTCACCATTCAGTAGACCAAACATGAAGGAACTCCATCAGTGCGCTATGTACCTACGCAGACAATACCCTCCCTCAAAAATGCATGTGAACCACATACAACTCCTGTGGGGCAGGACAATTGAGGTTCTGTGTTTGATTTCTGGCAACGCTACACATCATCATACATGACTCAGATAACATAACCCATGCAGCCAATTGCCATGTTTATTTGGGATAGCGCACGTGTTGTAGTTGCCTGCCTCTGCTGTCGTGTCGTTCAGACCAAGATTCAGCACCTGAGAAATGCAAGTGGGGTTTAGGGTCCCCTCCCCCCCACTCCAAAGTGGAACAAGGGAACCTGCAAAAAACAATTGCTGTCTCTGACAAAGCGGGTTCGCACGGTGTTTGAGGGAGGGTGTAGGGGCACCGAGGCCGAAGCATGGGTGTTCCAGCCATTCTTCTAGGAACCCAGGAGCAACTCGAAGTAGGAAGTATGAACAGTGCATCGCAATGGCAAAAAACTCGTTCCTCCCCGCAACTGCCTCTTCCGGCTCCCCAAACGCGATGTCCCTGCTTCAATGCCCAAAAACACCTTCTCGTAATTCACAAAATTCAGACTCCCTTTGTCCCTATCATGATGTGTCTATGGCCACGGATAGAAGCTACTGCCGTCAAGATTCTAAGTAGTTAAACCCCAGACGACAAACTAAACAACCAAAACTCTTGAGACAGCCATGCCACGGTGTCCATCATGCCAGGCATGGAGGCACGAGCGCCGGAGCGCACGGAGACCAGCAAGGGATTTGCGGCGTCCCCGAACTTGCGCCCAGTCCTCGCACAGCTCTTATTTTGGGGCTTCAGGCTTCATGCTGCTGCAGATCACGCTGGTTTCCTTCTTTCAGAACCATCAAACCGCTCCCAGAATTTGTGGAATGCTGCCATTCAATATCTAGACTGACTTCGAGACACACCCGAAACGATCAAACATTGGGCCTGCTACAGAATGGGAACCCTATGTGTCCTAGAGATATGTAGAAGGATTATGAGGGGCTTTGGGGGATCCCACCTAAGCACCCTACAGCGGTTCACTGAAGAAACTCTCACCTGGCCTTGTTTCGATGAGAGCCAGGGCCTTCTTCACCTGCTCCTTGAGGTCAGCAGGATATTGACCTCGCGAAGAGAAGCGGGAAGGTGGCGGTGGCGCTCGTAAGAGGACGAGAAGCATTAGCTAGACAAGTTGGCACAGTAGCAGAAGAAGTGCTTTTGATGACACTACTTCCTGTCTCCATCTGGATGCACCGTTCCATTCCCCCCTTCCTACTCTGCTTGGAAGTTCCTGGCGCTGATATCCTTGCCAAGGCGCAGTCGTTCTGGTAGTAGTATGTGCAAACCTCAGACCAGGCAAGGGCCTTGCGTCTGAAGTCTCCACTAGCTGGTAGCAAGGCTGCGCAAGGGCGGTTACTGGCGAATAGCAGACATCCCGATAAATGAAAGCTGTGTATGAGAGACTTGCCTCGCAAGCATGCTGCATGTCCTCAGCATTTCAAATCTCAAACCTCCCTTTGCCGCCTCCGTTGTCAGGGTGAAGCCAGGCGGAACAGGAAGCCCGATCGAAGCCATCTGGCAGAGAATGCTACCATCTAGGAGCCTCTGGTCGCAATGTGGGGACTGCCCTGAAATACCTATGAGAGGGTGGGGCGTCCTCCTGACTTCTGAATCTGCTGGTTGCCCGTGGACCTTGCCACCCACCCCTGAGCTTTGCTGCGCCTCTGCGAGGTTGGCACCCTTGCCGCCCAGGAGATTCCTGAGAGACAGACAAAATCTTTGAAAACGGTAGGCACACTCTATGGACACAGGAGCAGCAGCAGCGGTAATAGCGGAAATTGCGATGGATGTAAAACGAAATGTTCTCATTCTGCCTAGCGTCAAACAAGTTCTATAAATGCATAAATGAGACTGTCGGGATGTTTTTGAATGCGGTCAACAATAAAAAGGCCACGTAATCCCCGTGGGATCCCGAAGAATGACGGAACCCCGAAGTATGTCTTTCCTATCCATCTTTGAAGGTCTCATGTGAGCTATATAGTCTAGTCTAAACTCCTAGTATCCCCTTAACAGCCTTATACTACTCCCCTATATAACCCCCTATATGACACCCTTTAAGAAGTTTAGACTAAAGCTCATATGCTCGTCACCCCTCTCAGGATTACTTGGCTTTACGAGGCTTTGGCCTCTCTGGGGCATGATCCTTGTCGCTGGCCAGGTTGCTTCATCTCGGCTCGGCCGTCCGCATTCCCAGAGCCGAAGTTGTAGACCCAGGTCATGGCGAAGATGCAAAAGAAAGAGCACAGGGAGGGGCAGAGCTGAAAGCCAAACGCTTGCCGCAATGACACGGGGATCAGATGGTAAGAAGTCAAAAAACGGTCACCCCTTTGGGTCCCTTATGTCACAGGTGCACAACGAATGATCACATTTTCAATAACCCTCAACGTGAAGACTAAAACGCTATAACTCCAGGCTTTGGGCGGTAAGCCATTCAAGCAACATGCGATCTCAAATTAATGAAATGAAAGAGCATAATTCAAATCGCCACCAATAATCGTAGCAATTCTAAGAACAATAGAAAGTAACAGTAACAACAATAGCAACAATAACAACAATAATAATAACCAAAAAGTACTAATAACAACAAAAGAAATAATGGCAATAATAGTAAAATTAACAGTAACAATAGTAGCAGCAATAGTACAAGCATCAGGCCGGGTCGCCTGGCCACACTCCGTCCGCGATCGAAAGCCTCAATAGCCTCGCCAGGATCTCTTGCCCCAACCTTGTAGTCAATAATTTACTGGTTCTTAGTATGAAGAACCAGTGCAATGATCCTGGCTGTTTGTATAGGAGTCGCCCCTAGGTCACAGGCGAAATCCTAGCACCTGCTAGCATGGTTGTCACTACGGAACTGATGCATGGACATGTCTGTAAATAGTGCTCCTTATGACACCCCTTGCAATACTCCCTACAAATCTTGCATGAATTTCCTACTGACCTGCTGTAAGCTTCTCAAGCATCAGATGGGTGGTTGTCAAAATTATGGTCCTTTTTTGGGTACCCTAAATATTAGGTGCCATATTATGATAGGGACCCAAAAAGGGACCATAATTTTGACAACCACCCAGATAAGACAAGAAACACCGCAAGAAGCTCATAACCTCGGTCCTCCGACTGTCTGCCGCCAAAGACCCATCGGGCCCTTGTAGAGGGACATTGTAGGGGTCCGCATTGAGGATTACATATAGGGATCTCAAATTCATACAGGGAGCAAAGAATGTAAATGTTGGAAAGTACTTATCTTCCTCCATGCCCATGCAAGTTGTGTTGAGGGATGATCCAAAACACTGCGGCGAAGAAGGCTCAAACTGCAAAGGTTGAGGGTTTAGGGTTTAGAGTTTAGGGTTTGGGGTTTTGGGTTTGGGGTTTGGTGGAGAGATGGACAGCAACTGTGATTGACCAGCTGCGAACTGACGTGGAACCTATGGTGAGCACATGGATCTCAAACCAACTGCTGGGTCTACTAGAGAGCGTATTTTCCCAGGGTTTCCCCCACAAAACTTTAACAGAGCTTGTAGAGGCCTGAATCACTACTAAGTTGCGAATGACATTCTGTGGTCTGTTTGAGGCACCCTATACCAAAATCAGACCAGCATTCCTGGACAACAAGTTTGGTTTAGGGTTCAGGGCTACATTGCGGAATTAATCCTTATAAAGCCAGTTGCCATTTCTTCCATGTCTTGTCCATGTGACTCTCCATTTCTGCAAAAAAAACGGTGGTGCCCCCAAACCGGGCAGCAATTTTCACATCCTTGAAGCCGCGAGTAGCAGGTCCACCGCGACGCGGCACGCTAGTCGCCTTTCAGAACAATGCGACGCTTCGGCATTTTAATGTTATGCAAAAAAATGAATAAATTCAATTCCCAATTTAAGGTCATTTTGGTACTATTCCCTGAATAAACCACCATTCAGGGTGAGGTCGAGTGAGGTCACTTTAAATTGCCCAGGTTATGAGGGTTCTCGGGGTTGAGGGTTTTAAGGGCTTTGAGGTTTAGGATTGCCTACTGCCCCCGCCCAGTGGGGCGTGACTTAGATAGAGGCTTAAAAATTCACGTGATCATGATTCAACAATCCAACTGTTCCTGGTTGGGGGCAGTATCCACAGGATGGGGCTTAGAGCAGCAAGCGATAGCAATGAATGACGGACGGCCAAGGGTGTAGGGCATCAAACGGGTCACAGCAGTAGTGAATGGAAATGAGACTTGCCGACCCCGAAAACCGTGATCTGGGTAGCACCATTAAACGCAACAATTAAGAAGATGCACGTAGCAACAGAATCCAATAGACACAACAATGCAACAATAGGTCTACCATTAAACCAGGGAAGCTACTGTCTCCCCCTGTCAGACCTTCCACGTCTGTGGACTCTGAGTGCGGCACCAGTCTCTGAAACCTCCTGACTGAGTCTTTCCTTTCGGATCTTATTCCTGAGCAGCGGCACCATTGGAAATCAAACCCTAAGCCCCTAAACCCTAAACCTTAAACCTAAACCCTGAACCCCTGAACCCCAGCGGGGTCCAACTTTGGCTTCGGGCTGATTTGGGGATGCATGGGTATAAACGGCATGCTGGGTGTGACTGGGGTGTGGCACAAAAGAACCCACTCATACCGCTACACGCGGTTTAGGGTTTGGGGTTGGGGGTTTCAGGTTGGGGGTCCGGGGTTTAGGGCTTTCCCCCATGTCTTGGTTAAGGGTTACAGGTCCAACAAACAAAACGCAACACTTATCAAAGCCAAAGTTCTCAAGCATAAACACGTAACCCACAAACCGGCTAAACCCTAGACATAAAAACCCTAAACCGGGCTAGAGATTTAGGATTTACGTCAACCTACCAGGTGCCAGGCACTGTGGGTCTCCAGGAAGCACCGTCCTCAACAGCAGGATGAATCTTCAAGAAGTTTAGGGTTTAGGGTGAAACCCTTTCCGTCCGGCCCAAGTACAGAGGCAATGCCGCTTCGGCAGGGTGTTTGGCTTCGGGTTTGTTGTCTCAGAGCTTAAGATTTAGGGTGGCGTGGGGTTTAAGGCTTCGAGTTCAGGGCTTCCAGTGACATCAAGCAACAGGCCATCAAATACTCTTTCAGGTTGGCAGTGCCTTACACGCGGCATATCCCAGCCACAGATGAGTTCGGGATAGCAATGACAAATGACTGTTTTCATTATGATGTTTCGGGTTCAGGGTCTGGATCAAGTGGCGCACCAGCGCGTCATATAGCCAGTGACCCCAGTACCGTTGAACCGCTGTGGGGAGTGGTAGTCGGTACGTCAATGAGCCAATGCCATACCACATGTCCTGCCACATGAAAGGTTGTGCCTCGCAGTTTGCCTCCACCCTGACTCAGGGAATGGTGGATCGAGCTGTGGCCTCCTTAGCTGGTCGCGACGGAATCTCTTTGCGCCAACTTCGAGTGCACCTACAGGAGAGTATGGGTGTCGACTTGGCCTCGCAGAAGGCTGCCATCAGGCGAATCAGAGCAAACAGTGGAGGATATGACCTCGGGCCTGAAAGTTTCCAGTTTGCCTACTGACTGTTTGGCGCAAATGCGCAGTCCATGGATTGGTGAGTGGGAGCCTTGCGCTCGCGTTTTTGATGGCAGCATCGCTGTTGAAGGGAGGGAGCGCGGCAGGCAACTCTTCACACAGCTCCATGACATGGGCATATGCAATCCCTGCTTCGTTGTTTCAGGGCATTGCGCAGTTGACAAGTGCGAGCTTCGAGATGAGGACACCAGCCCACGTGACAGACAGTTCCTCATCTTTGCAATCAACGAGCTGGAAGATGGACGGGCCATGCGGAACAGCATCCAGAAGGAAAACCCGCCTCAAGTGTCGCAGCGCCCGCGAGCCGGCATGCAAATGTTTGTGAAGGCCCAGACGGGAAAGACTAGTGCAACGGACATGGAGTCCTCAATCCCTGCTGGCATCAAGGCCAAAGTCCAAATCAGAGCAAGTTTTTTCTGTGGCAAGCCGCGCCTGAGCTTTGCAGGCATGCGTTTGGGTTGTGGCCGGGCGCTCTCGGACCACAAAGTCCGGAAGCGAAGAACTCTTCGTTTGGTACTGTTGCTGCGTAAAGGCCTACAGATCTTCTTGAAGATTCAGGCTGGCGAGAGCTTCGCCTTGCATATGAAGCCGAGGAGCTGTGCGACAATGTTGTGGCCAAGGCCCAGGCCCATGCCAAGGAGGACACTGACAAGCATTGCTTGATTTGCGCAGGCGCTCAGCTAAGGCCCGAGCCAACCTTGGAAAAGAACCAGGCAAACCAGCGGCTGGCACTCGCTTGGGCGGGAAGTGGGCTTGGGTATGGGGCCAGATTCAAGTGCTGAGGGCAAGCTTTGGCGGATTCTGGCTTTCCCTCGCTATTCTTTGGGTTTTTTTAGTTTAGTGTTCGGTTTTGTTGAGGGCTGACAGGACGTCAGGGAGACGACTTTTTCGATCTCATAGATCGGTCGGTTAAATCTCCTTGATATTTCCCCTCAAGGGCCGCGGGCCCCGGCAATGAGTTGTGCTGATTTCT